TCCCCCGGTTTAGGGGTGCCCCCTCTGTGTTTGAGGGTCCCCTCCCTACATTTGGGGATGTCCCTCTATATTTTGGGGGTCTCCCCCCCCATCTGGGAACAACCCCATTTTTGGGGCACCCCCCGATATTTTGAGGCACTTTCCCTTTTTGGGGTGCTCTCAAATTTGGGGGTGTCCTCCTATATTTTGATGTACTCCTCCCCATCTTTGGGGCTTACCCCATATGTTGGGGTGCCCCCATTTTTGGGATGCCCCCCCCATGTCTTGGGGTTTCCTCTATCTTTTGGGGTGCACTCCCAATGTCCTCAGGTTGCTCCACATCTCTGGGTACCCCCCATATCTTTGAAGTTCACCCCTATATTTTGAGGTGTCCCCCCCATTTTTGGGGGTAACCCCCGTATTCTGAAGCCTTCCTCCCTTTCCTGCTCATCCATCACATTTCAGCAACCCCCCCCACTCATTTTTAGGGTGCTCCCCCACATTCTTGAGCCCCCCCCTTTGGTTTTGGGGACCCACCGATGTTTTGGGCTGCTGCCCCCCCCCCCCCCCCCCCCCCCCTTCCCGTACCGGCCAGGGCCTTGATGCGGGAGCGCTCGAAGCGCCGGGCAGAGCTGCCTTCATGGTCACCCTCCTCCTCCTCCTCCTCGTTGTCCCAGCGGTTGTTGACGTCTCCGTACTGCCGCTGCAGCTCCAGGCTGTCATAGGCCGGGGGGGACAACATGGCGGCCCTATGGGGGGGCCCTGTCACCGGGGGAGGGTCCTGTATCCCCCCCCCCATCATTGAGGGGGGACCCCCCTGTCGCTGGGGGGGCTGGGGGATGCGCATGGATAAGGGACACATGGAGAGGGGACGGGGCAGGTGGAGGTGACTCCCCCCATGGCCCCCAAGGAGATGGACCCCCCATGCTAAACAGGGACACCCCAAAGCCAGGAGAGGCCCCCCCCAATCTGTCAAGGACCTCCCCAAAACAGGGAGGAAGCCCCCAAGGGCTGAGGAGGGTGCACAGGGCACCAAGAGAGGGACCCCCCCCAAACCAAGAGAGAGCCCCACAAACCATGAGGGACCCCTCAGTCTTTGAGCCCCCCCCCCAGACCTGAGGTGGAGACACAGCACATAGGTCCCCCCCAAACCATAACGGACATCCCCTTAACCAGGGGGGGCCCCAAATCAGAAGGACCCCCCCAACCTGTGACAGACCCCAGCAATGTTTGAGCCCCCCCCCCCCCGAAAGACCCCTCGTACCTGTGAGCCCCCCCCCCATCCTCCCAAGAGACCCCTGAGCACTCAGTGACCCCCCCTTCCCTTCCAGGGCCTCCCAAACTCCCACAAGGACACCCCCATCCTCTCCGTTCCCCCCCCGGGGCTCCCCTCCGGTGTCTGTGCAGGTCCCATCCCCGGTCCTTGCCCCCCCCCCCATTCCCTGCACACACACCCCCCCCCCCCTCCACCGGCGGCAGCTTAATGCTCTTAGTGCGGGATCAGCGGCCGGACCCCCCGCACCGGGAAGGGGGGGGAGGACTCGGACACGCGTGTGCCCCCCCCCAAACACAAGGCCCCGCAGCACCGGGGGCACCCGGGACAAAGCCGGAGGGGGGGGGGGACACGGACACGGACGGGCCCTGCTCGGTGCTGCGGGGACCGGAGCGGCTGCCGCAGTGGCGGGGGGGGGGGATGCGGGGACGGGGGATGCAGTGCGGGATGGTGGCGGGGGTGTGGGGGGGGTCCTCCCGGTGTGATTCCCCCCCCCCCCACCCCTCCGGTTCCCGTTGTCGTCCCCGTTGCCGTCCCGGTCCTACCTGCGCTGCGGTGCCGGAGCGGGCTGAGGCCGCGGCAGCTCATCACACCCGCGGCGGGAGGGGCGGGGCCAGGGGCGGGGCCACAGCGGCACCGGGGAGGGGGGCGGGACCACCGCGGGGCGCGGGAGGGGGGTGTCACCGGTACCGGGAGGGACACACACACATACACACCGGGACTGAGGGGGGGGGTGCCCCATATCCCCCCATGCATCCCCCCCTCCCCCCCGCCCGGAGTGGACCCAGATGTCCTCCCCTCACTCCGTTCGACCTGCCCGCTGTCACCACGGTTACCCCCCCACCACCACCAGGTGGAAGCGCCCGCCCCGGTTGCCGTGGCGACGCGGCTCCGCTGGCCCCGCCCACGGGAGGGAGGGGCTCTGCCCCCTCCTGTTGCCATAGTGACCGCCCGCCCCTCTTCCTCCACGCCGCCAGGGGGCGCTCGCGGGAGTGGGGGGGGCACAACATGGCGGAGCAGGCCTTGTGCTCGGTGAGGGGGGTCCCTGGGGTCACAGTGGGGCATGGGGGGGGGGGGTCACTGTTGGGGTCAAAGGTCACTAATGGGGCTGGGGGTCTCTTGGGGTCCCCCCACCCCGTTTGTCCCCGCAGGTTCTGGAGCGGCTCCTCCTGGTCCTGGCCCCCCCCAGCAGCGTGGAGCAGAAGGGGGGGTCCCTGCTGGTGGCCCTGGCAGCCGAGGGGGACACGGCCCAGTCCGGCTGCACCATCACCGGTGCGGGGGGGGGAGGCGAAGGAAGGGGTTTTTTTTGGGGGGGGGGCTTTAGGGGACCCCAATCCCCCCCCTTTTGTCCCTGTAGTGGCGGCTGCTGGGGACCTGACCCGTGGCATCGACACCGAAGCCCTTTTGGGAGGTAGGGCCCCCCCCCAAAGTGCAGGTCCGTCCCCCCCCCACATCGGGGGGCTCCTCACTGTGCCCCCCCACACCCCACCCCACAGGCACTCTGGGGGTGTTGGTGCTGCCGGAGGTGCCCCATGTCCCTGCTCCGTGCTGCGGCCGCATCCTGCACCAGGCCCGCCTGCGCTTGGCCTTTCAGGTGGGGGGGGGGGGGGTCCCTCAATCCCCCCCCCCCCCCCAATTGCTCTCCTTCCCCACACACACAGGGTGACCTTGAGGGGGGCAGAATTGGGGCCGCGGCCCCCGGGGGAGCTCCGGCCCCCGCCACAAGTAGGGCAAGTGGATAAATATAACTGGGGTGGCCTGGTTTTGGGGGGGGGTGTGACAAAATGGGGTCATGGGGGGGGGCAGGCAGATCCCCAATACCCACAGCAGCCCCCAAACTGGTCTCAGTCCTTGGCAGGGCTGGTGTTGTCTCCCCAAACTGGGGTGAAGCAGCAGGACACCCCCCGCCCCCAGAGATGGGGGGGGGCTTTGGGGTACCCACCCCACCTCCCCGTGCCCCCCACCCCAGCTCTGCGCCCCCCCCGACTGTGTGTGGCTGCGGCGGTTCCTGCACAAGGCCAGCGTGGTGCACCCCGAGGTACCAGCACTGGAGTGGGGGGACACACACATTGGGGTGCACCCGGGGGGGTCCCAACGTTGAAACCCCCCCCCATGCCCCCCAGGTGGAGTTTCACTTGTGTGTCAGCATGAATGGAGCCGTGGCCTCGCACAGCTATGGGTGAGACTCCATGGACACCCCCACACTCTGGGGACCCCCACATCCTATGGACACCCCCAACCTAGGACCCCATGGGGGGTTCGGGGGGGTCCCAAGCCAGTGCCAGCTCTGTCCCTGTGTTCTGCAGGAGGGAGAGCGCCTGGACAATGGAGGGAGTGAGGCTGCGGGTCCAGAGCTGGCACTTCGCGCTGTAGGATGGGATGGGGATGGGATGGGATGGGATGGGATGGGATGGGGATGAGGGCAGGATGGGGATTGAATGGGGACAGGGTGGGGACAGGACTGGGATGGGGATAGGGATAGAGTAAGGATGGGGATGGGGACAGGATGGGGATGAGTGTAGGTAAAGGATGGGGATGAAGACAGGGATGGGGATGGGGACAGGATGGGGATAGGTAAAGGATAGGGATGAAGATAGGGATGGGGATGGGGACAGGTTGGGGATGGAATGGGGACGGAATGGGGACAGGATTGGGATGGGGATAGGGAAAGGATAGGGATAGGGAAAGGATGGGGATGGGGACAGGATGGGGATGGAATGGGGACAGGGCTGGGGATGGGGACAGGATGGGGATGGAATGGGGACAGGGATGGGGATGGAATGGGGACAGGGATGGGGATGGGGACAGGATGGGGATGGAATGGGGACAGGGATGGGGATGGGGACAGGATGGTGATGGAATGGGGACAGGGAAGAAGACAGGGATGGGGATGGGATGGGGATAACGACAGGATGGGGCCATGCCAGGGCAGCTCAGGGCTCATGGGATGGGCAGCGGGTGGCTCAGGGTCCCCAGGAGGCAGAGGGGGTGGCGGAGGGGGGGTGTCAGCAGGACATGGACATGATCCCTGGGGGCTGTCCCGGGGGCTGCTGCACATCCTGAGCTGCATCCGGATGGACACAGCACCCTCCGCCCATATCTCCCCCAGCTCCAGGCCGGCAGCCCCTGGGGGTGCCCCCCCCTGCAGCAGGATCCACCCCACACTGGGACCCCCCATCTGCCTGCGGGTGCCCCCCCCTGCGGTGGCCGCAGGGCTCGGGGGGGAGCTGAGCTTGGTCCCTGCAGCCGCCTTGTGCCCCTGCCTGCGCCGGGCCCCCAACCGGCCCTCCCGCCTCGACACCATCGCCATATCCCGGTGTTCCCGGTGGGATCTGGGAGGGAACTGGGGCGTGAGGCGGGGGGGGGGGGGGCACACATGGGGCCAGGCTGTTGTCCTTGACCGTGGCCACTTGTTCCTGTATGACCCTGCGGGGCTCCCGGCCGCGGCGCCCCGGTTCTTCCAGGATCCCTCTTGGATGGCGGATTGGGAGCAATTCGGCTTCACCGCGGCCCCCCATGCCCAGAGAGAGGGGCAAGAAGGTGAGGGGGGTATCTGGTGACAACAAGGGGGGGGGTCCTACCTGTGGCAGCACCCCCAGTGCCCCCCCATCTTGTCCCTGCAGAGTTGGTGACCCCCGATGCCACCTACACAGTGCAGCAGGGAGCGGGTGGCCCCGATGGGGACCAGCACCCCCAGAGCCTCCTGCTCTTCCTCTTCCTCCAGCACGAGGACCCCTTCCAGGCGTACGATGCCAGTGAGTGGGGCTGGAAGGGGGCTGAGGTTGGTGGGGTCCCCATTGTCCAAGGGTGTCCCCATGGTCTATGGGGTGTCCCCATGGTCTATTGTGTGTCCCCATGGTCTTGGGGGTGTCTCTGTCATACAGGGGTGTCCCCATTGTCCAGGGGTATCCCCATAGTCTAAGGGGTGTCCCCATAGTCTTGGGGATGTCTATGTCATACAGGGGTGTCCCCATGGTCTAAGGGGTGTCCCCATGGTCTGGGGGTGTTTCTGTCATACAGGGGTGTCCCCATGGTGTAAGGGGTGTCCCCATGGTCTGGGGGTGTTTCTGTCATACAGGGGTGTCCCCATGGTCTAAGGGGTGTCCCCATAGTCTTGGGGGTGTTTCTGTCATACAGGGGTGTCCCCATGGTCTGGGGGTGTCCCCCTGGTCTTGGGGATGTCTCTGTCATACAGGGGTGTCCCCATGGTCTAAGGGGTGTCCCCATGGTCTTGGGGGTGTTTCTGTCATACAGGGGTGTCCCCATGGTCTAGGGGTGTCCCCATGGTCTGGGGGTGTTTCTGTCATACAGGGGTGTCCCCATGCTCTAAGGGGTGTCCCCATAGTCTTGGGGGTGTTTCTGTCATACAGGGGTGTCCCCATGGTCTAAGGGGTGTCCCCATAGTCTTGGGGGTGTTTCTGTCATACAGGGATGTCCCCATGGTCTAAGGGGTGTCCCCATGGTCTTGGGGGTGTTTCTGTCATACAGGGGTGTCCCCATGGTCTAAGGGGTGTCCCCATGGTCTAGGGGTGTCCCCATGGTCTAAGGGGTGTCCCCATAGTCTTGGGGGTGTTTCTGTCATACAGGGATGTCCCCATGGTCTAAGGGGTGTGCCCCTGGTCTTGGGGATGTCTCTGTCATACAGGGGTGTCCCCATGGTCTATGGGGTGTCCCCATGGTCTTGGGGGTGTTTCTGTCATACAGGGGTGTCTCTGTCATACAGGGTTGTCCCCATGGTCCTAGGGGTATCCCCATGGTCTAAGGAGTGTCTCCATGGTCTTGGGGATGTCTCTGTCATACAGGAGTGTCCCCATGGTCTATGGGGTGTCCCCATAGACTTGGTGATGTCTCTGTCATACAGTGGTGTCCCCATGGTCTAAGGGGTGTCCCCATGGTCTTGGGGGTGTCTCTGTCATACAGGGGTGTCTCTGTCATACAGGGGTGTCCCCATGGTATAGGGGTATCCCCATGGTCTAAGGGGTGTCCCCATGGTCTAAGGGGTGTCCCCATGGTCTTGGTGATGTCTCTGTCATACAGGGGTGTCCCCCTGGTCTTGGGGAAGTCTCTGTTATACAGGGATGTCCCCATGGTCTGGGGGCATCCCCATTGTTCAGGGGTGCCCCTATGCTCCGGGGCTGTCCCCCATCTATCCCCTGTCCCCACAGGCACCCGCCTGGTGCTGCTGCAGCACCTGGAGCAGACGCTGTGGAGCAGCCGCTCGGCGCTGGCCCGCGGGCTCCGGACCCTCGTCCACCCCATACTGGGGGAGCTGCGTCGGCGGCACGAGGTGGGTGCCACACATGGGTGGGTGGGGGGGGCACCAGCACTCCCATTGAACCCCCCCTTCCCATCCTGGAGGCCCAGCAGCGCCTGGCACGGTCCCTTTGTGTCGCGCTGGACGCGGTGACGGCCGTGGTGACCGGGAGCACCAGCACCCGGTTCCGTCGGGGCTGCCTGCGCTCCATGCAGGTACCGGGGGGGATCACACGGACCCCCGAGGTGAAAGGGGGGCTCTTGGGGAGGGTTTCACCCCCCCGCTCCCCTTCCTGATGTCCCCACAGGTCGAGGACACCCCGGCTTTGGTGGTGGCCGCTCGGCAGAGCTTGGCTGAGGTCACCCACAGGCGGCTGCTGCCCATCGGCTCCTGCGAGACCCCCAAGGACCCCCAGGGGGGTGAGGGACACGCCGGGGTGGGGGTCCACAGCCACCCCCCAGCCCCATAGAACCCCCCTTTGACCCCTCCCAGGATCCCCACTGGAGCATCCCCGTGTGCGGAGCGGGCAAATGGAGGAGGAGGAAGAGGAGGAGGATGAGGAGGGTTCCCAGAGCAGCCAGGGGCAGGTGGGTGTCACTGGGGGGGGCCCCCCTTTTACTCCCCCATTAAACCCCATTGACCCCCCCCCATCCCGCAGGTGTTGCTGCACGAGGTGGCCCAACGGGTTGCCTAAGGGACAGGGTTGGAGCCCAACCCTCTGCCTGTGCCAGCCCAGTTCACCCAGTTCACCCGGTCCCACCTGGTTCTGGCAGCCCCAGTCCCATTCCCCCAGTTGGTCCCGGTTTCCTTTGTTGGTCCTAGTGCCACAGTTGCTCCCCGTTCTCCCAGTTGCTCCTAGTTCTCCCAGTCAGTCCCAGTTTTCCCAGTCCCCCACTGGTCCCAGGTCCCTACTGGTCCCAGTTCTTACAGTCAATCCCAGTTCCCCATTGGTCCCCAATCCCCTACTAGTCCCAGTTCTCCCAGTCACTCCCAGTCCCACACTGGTCCCAGTTCTCACAGTCAGTCCCAGTTCTCCCAGTCACTCGCAGTCCCCCACTGGTCCCAATCCCCCACTGATCCCAGTTCTCCCAGTTGCTCCTAGGCCCCCACTGGTCCCAGTTCCCCACAGTTCCCAGTTCTCCCAGTCACTCCCGGTGCCCCCCTGGTCCCAGTCCCCTACAGGTCCCAGTTCTCCCAGTCACTCCCAGTGCCCCCCTGGTCCCAGTCCCCCACTGGTCCCAGTGCCCTCCTGGTCCCAGTCCCCCACTGGTCCCAGTTCTCCCAGTCGCTCCCATTTCACCCAGTCACTCCCAGTGCCCCCCGGTCCCAATCCCCCACTGATCCCAGTTCTCCCAGTTGCTCCTAGTCCCCCGCTGGTCCCAGTTCCCCAGTGGTCCCAGTTCTCCCAGTCACTCCCAGTGCCCCCCCGGTCCCAATCCCCCACTGATCCCAGTTCTCCCAGTCACTCCTAGTCCCCCACTGGTCCCAATCCCCCACTGGTCCCAGTTCTCCCAGTCGCTCCCAGTGCCCCCCCGGTCCCAATCCCCCACTGATCCCAGTTCTCCCAGTCGCTCCCATTTCACCCAGTTGCTCCCCTTCGCCCCACTGGGTCCCAGTTCCCCCACCCCCTTTTCCCACTCAGTTCCCACGCCATTGCCCCGCCCCCCTGACGCCCCGCCCCCCACCAAAGCCACGCCCCTCACCTTAAGCCCCGCCTCTTCCAACTCACTCCCATTCCTCCAAGCCCCTCCCTCCGCGCCTCCGCCCTGCAGCACCTGCCGCTGGCCCCGCCCCTCCAGTCCAGACCCCGCCCCCCCCCCGGGGCTGGCCCCGCCCCCCCGCCATGGCGCTGTCGCAGCCCGCGGGCGCCTCGTCCTGGGCCGCGGCCGCTCCGGCTCGAACTGGGCCGGGCCCTGGAACGGGTCCCGGAGCGGCCCCGGCCCCCGCCGCCGGCCCCGGGCCGTGCTGGGCCGCGGTGCTCGCCTGCCTCAGCCTGGCCTGCTCCTACGTGGGCAGCCTCTACGTGTGGGGCAGCCCCCTGCCGCGGTACGGACCGGGGCGGCGGGGGGCGCTGGGGGTCTGTAGGGTGCTTGGGGGGGATCTGTCGGGTACATGAGGCGCTCTAGGGGGGGTTTATGGGGTGCTTGGGGGCGGTCTGGGGGGGGGGGGTAGGTTCCGTGGGGGTCTGTAGGGGTTCTGGAGGGTCTATAGGGCGCTAGGGGTGCTGGGGTGGTCTATAGCATACCCGGTGGGGTTTAAGTGGTACCTGGGGGGCTGGAGTGCATTGAGGGCACTCGGGACAGGGTGTTTAGATTGTTGGGGGGGTTATGGAGTATATGAAGGAGGTGGGAGGGCCTGGGGGAGCTCTTTAGTGTCTGTGGGGTGGGGGCAATGGGGGGCACCCCCCCCCGTACCCCACACTCACCCCCCCCTTGGCCACAGGGACCATCCATCTGTCATCAAGCGGCGCTTCACCAGCGTCCTGGTGGTGTCGGGGCTCTCCCCGGCCTTTGTGTGGCTCTGGAAGGAGCTGACGGGTGTCAAGGTGAGTGTGGGGGTGGCTGTGACCCGGGTTGGGGGGGGGGGACACCCCCCCCCACATGTGGTGCTAACCCCCCATTTCCTCCCCACAGCTTGACACCCCCCTGCCAGCACTGCTGGGGCTGCGCCTGGAGGGGCTGGTGCCAGCCACGCTGCTGCCACTGCTGCTCACCATGGTACGTGTGGGGCTGGGGGGGAATGGGGGGCACCAGCTCCCTGACCCCCACCCAGGCCGCCTTTAAGCCCCCCATGCCCCCCAGATCCTTTTCCTGGGACCCCTCATCCAGCTCTCCATGGACTGTCCCTGGCGCTGGCTTGATGGCATCAGGGTGGCTTTCGGTAAGGGGGGGGGGACACAACTTCTTGGGGGGGGTCCCAACCAGGGTGCTGGGTAATGGGGTGGGGGGGGGCAGTTGGGCATTGATGGGCTTTGGGGGGTGGAACTGTGGGGTCAGGGAACAGTGAATGGGGCAGCGGGTTTGGGGGGCAGCAAGAGGAGGTTTGGGGTCTATCCTTGCCCCCCCCCCCGAACCCCTTCTATGTGCTGCAGACCCCAGGTTCTGGGTGCTGTGCCTGGGGGACGTGCGCTGGCTGCGGAACCAGGTGGTGGCCCCGCTGACGGAGGAGCTGGTGTTCCGTGCCTGCATGCTGCCCATGCTGGTGCCCTGCACCGGGCCCGGCCCCGCCGTCCTCGCCTGCCCCCTCTTCTTCGGTGTGGGTGAGTGAACCCCATACCGGGGACCCCCCCTTGGCCCCCCCAAACCGACCCTCACAGCCCCGTTCTCACCCCCCAGCTCATTTCCACCACGTCATTGAACAGCTCCGGTTCCGACAGGGCTCTGTCAGCAGCATCTTCATGTCAGCAGGTACCCCTATGGGGGCCCAGGGTGGTGGGGAGGGCTTGGGGAGCTGGAAGGGGCATATGGAGTGGGTGCTTGGAGGGACACAGGGGGCCTAAAGGGGATTTGGAGTGCCTGGGGGGGTACATAGTGTTCTTAAGGGGGATTTGGAGTGCCTGGGTGGGATATTGAGGTGCTGGGGGAGGCACATGGGGTCCTCAAGGGGAATTTGGGCTGCCTGGAGGGGAGATGTTGGGGTGCTGAAGGATAACTTGGGGTGTCTGGGGGGGATGTGGGATGCCTGGAGCAGTGTGGGGAGCCTGGGGGGGGGGGATGCAGGCCCCTCCAACCCCCCTTTTCCTCTTTCCCATAGCTTTCCAGTTCTCCTACACTGCCGTCTTCGGCGCCTACACGGCCTTCCTCTTCCTCAGGACAGGTGGGTGCAGGCTTGGGGGGGGGGGGAGTGTACAGCGGGTCCGGGGGGGGTCTCCATGGCTCTGTAGCTCTGTCCATCCCTCCTGCAGGTCACCTGGCGGGCCCGGTGCTGTGTCATTCCTTCTGCAACTCCATGGGCTTCCCGGCTGTGGGGGCGGCGCTGGAGCACCCCCGGCGCCGGGCGCTGCTGCCCTGTTACCTGCTGGGGGTCCTGCTCTTCCTCCTGCTCCTGCACCCCCTCACCGAGCCCACCTTCTTCGGGGGCACCCCGGCCTGTGCCCCCCGCCCAGGGGGCCCCCCTGCCTGCTCCTGACCCGGGTGTGGGGGCACCCGCCCTGGCCCCCGCCACCCCCAAACCCCCTTTTTATAGGTGCCGCTGCACAGAGCTCTATTTTTGTGATTAAAGTGCTTTAAGCCTTCGTGTATTGGGATTGAATGGGATTGGGAAGGACGGGGATGGGACAGGGATGGATTGGGAAGGACGGGGATGGGACTGGGATGGATTGGGAAGGACGGGGATGGGACTGGGATGGATTGGGAAGGACTGGGATGGGACAGGGATGAATTGGGAAGGACGGGGATGGGACCGGGGGGTGGATTGGGAAGGACGGGGATGGGACCGGGGGGTGGATTGGGAAGGACAGGGATGGGACAGGGATGGATTGGGAAGGACTGGGATGGGACGGATGGATTGGGAAGGAAGGGGATGGGACAGGGATGGATTGGGAAGGATGGGGATGGGACAAGGATGGATTGGGAAGGATGGGGATGGGACCACACAGTGCGTGGACAGAAAGAAGCAGGACCTGGGGCTGATTGGGCTGGACTGGGATTTGGCCCCGTTATAACTGGGCTGGGGCTGGGGCTGGACTGGGATTCATCCCCATTCAAACCGGGACGGGACCGGAGGCGGCTCCCGAGTTCCTCCACCCCGCCAGGGGGCGGCAAAGCCGCGCGTAGACGCTCTGCCACAGCAGGTGCGCTGGTGACCACGCTCAGCCATTGGTCAGGCGAGAGCCAATAGGAGCGCGGCGTGGGCGTGGCCCCAAGCCACGCCCCCCTCCAGGACCACCCGTTTTCCAGCGCTGCTTTATTCCCGCGCTGCACCACGTGACTGCCGTACACCCGCTCGGCCCCGCCCCCGGCCCCGCCCTGTCGCCGGCGCCCCCCCCCCGGGTCCTGCCGCCCGCCGGCCCCGCCGCCCGGCCCCGTTAAGGGGGGTTGTCGCAGTCACGGTCGTGGTCGCTGTGGGCTCCGCCGCCGCCGCCGCCGCGGGTGGGCGGCCCGTGGCTGTGGGCCTTGCGGATATGGCGGTAGAGGTCCCCGGACTGGGTGTAGCTGCGCAGGCAATGGCGGCACTCGTAGGGACGCTCCCGCGTGTGCACGGTGGCGTGGCGCCGCAGGGTGTAGGAGCAGGAGAACGTTTTCCCGCACGTGGGGCAGGTCGGTGCCTCCTCGGTGAAGAGCCCGAAGCCCCCGCGCCCCTCCAGCGGTGGCAGGAACAGCGGCTCCCGCAGGGCTGGCAGCCCGAAAGGCAGCGGCTCCCCCGATGCCTCCCCGAAGGTCGCAGGCCGAGGGGCACGGGCTGGCGCCGGGAAGAGGCTGGCAGAGCGGCGGGTGCCCGCCTCGGGCTCCTCGTCGGAGATGACAATGGCTTCCACCTTGACAGCAGCAGGCAGCAGCCCCCCAGGGGCAGCGGGAGCCCAGGGCCCTGCGCAGAGCGCCCCCGGGGCGGGCAGCTCGCTCCCGGGGAAGGTGGCACGAGGGGCGGCCTCCGTCGAGCTGCTGGGGCTGGGGAGGGGCAGCTCCGGTGCAGCAGCACGGGACCAGTCGCCCTCCATGCCGGGCTGCGTGGTGTCAGCCACATCCACGCGGGACACGGGCGGCTCTTGGGGGGGCACTCCCTCCTCCCCGCCATCCCCAGCCTCCGGGGCCGGGCCGGGGGGGGGCAAAAGGGGCGCCCCAGGGCTGGGTGGGCACTGCTGGGGGACGGCGGGAGGCAGCGGGGGACTGCCGGGGGCATCCTCCTCCCGTTTGGTGCTGTCGGCCTCAGCCGGGACCCGCGCCTGCAGCTTCTTCTTGCAGAGCTTGACGACGTCGTTCATGTGCAGGTAACTGGCGGCCGCCAGCACGTCCTCCAGCGGCGTGGCGGCCAGCGCCAGCCGCCCCTCGTACATGAACTCCAGGAGCAGCCCGAAGGCGGGCGGCGTCACGATCTCGCTGTTCAGGCACACCAGGTCACCCTTATCCAGCCGCTCCGCGTAGCACATGTGGAAGAAGGCGCTGCAGGCGGCCAGGACCGCCCGGTGCGCCGGGAACGGGGCGCTGCCCACCAGCACGGTGCAGTCGCAGAGGAAGCCCTGGGCCCGCTGCTCCCGCAGTCCCCGCAGCAGCTGCCGGCTGTGCTCGGGGAACTCCATGGTGTCCCGCGGGGCTCTGCCGGCCCTGGAAGGGGGGTGACAGCGTTAGGGGGGGGGTGCCCAGGAGGCTGCTGTCAGCCCTGGTGGGGCCCGGTCAGACCCGGTCAGCAGCAGCGGGACATGTTCAGCCCCGGTGTGGTCCTGTCAGCCCCAGCAGGAGCCGGGCAGCCCCGGTAGGACCCGGTCAGCAGCAGCAGGACCTGTTCAGCCCCAGCAGGAACCGGGCAGCCCCGGGAGGACCCAGTCAGACCCGGTCAGCACCGGTAGGGCCCGGTCAGCACCGGTGGGGCCCGGTAGGACCCGGTCAGCCTCGGTAGCACCCGGTCAGCCCCGGTGGGGCCCGGTCAGCCCCGGGAGGACCCAGTCAGACCCGGTCAGCCCCGGTAGGGCCCGGTCAGCCCCGGTGGGGCCCGGTCAGCAGCAGCAGGACCTGTTCAGCCCCGGTGTGGTCCTGTCAGCCCCAGCAGGAACCGGGCAGCCCCAGCAAGAGCCATTCAGCCCTGGGAGGACCCGGTCAGCCCCAGTAGGACCCCGTCAGCCCCGTTAGGACCCGGTCAGCCCCCGTGGGGCCCGGTCAGCCCCGGTAGGACTCGGTCAGCCCCGGTGGGGCCCGGTCAGCCCCGGGAGGACCCGGTCAACCCCGGTAGGGCCCGGTCAGCCCCGGGAGGACCCGGTCAGCCCCGTTAGCAGCCGGTCAGCCCCGGTAGGGCCCGGTCAGCCTCGGCAGGGTTCGCTCCATCCCGCTGGGCCCGCCCCAGCTCCGTGGTCCCCGTCCCCACTCACCACAAAGCAACGGCCTAGCGACGCCCCGCCCCCCCGCGCTGATTGGCAGCCAGTTCGGTTAGCCTCTCCCGCTCTCATTGGTCAGATCATCTGCCGCTCAAAATGCCGGGACGATGAGGGTGAGAGGCGCCTGTTGATTGGTCTCTTACCACTGTCACTTATAGAAGAGGGCTGCTGATTGGCTTCTGCCGGGAAGAGGCGGGCCGATGCGGCCTTGGCCTTGGTTGCTACGACCGCGGGGAGGGGCGTTGCTGGGGAAGCCCTCAGCGGGGGGGGCGGGACTCCGGGCAGCGCGCGTGTTTTGATTGGGCTCTCGGATGTGTCACTCATCTCTCCCGCGCTTTCATTGGTCTGCCGTTCCCCGTACAAGGTGTGGCCCTATCCCGCGCTCTGATTGGTGAGAGTTCCCATCTGTCACACCAGGACGGAGCGGGGGCGGGGCTACGGTCTCCATGGCAACCAAGCCGGCGGGCCGCTATGGGGGTGTGGCCGGGGCGGGGCTCCCGTCAGCCAATGGGACTCGGCGGAGTGAGGCCAGGGGCGGGGTCAAGGGTCAGCTCCGATCCAAGATGGCGGTGGCGCCGGGGAGGTGAGCGTGCGCCGCGGGACCCGCGTCTTCCCCCCCCCCCCCCCCCAACTGGATCCTTCCCCCCCCACCTCCCCCCGGTACCCGCGAACCGGGACCCCCCCCTTCCCCCTTCGGAACCCTCAACCCCCCCCCATCTCCTCCCGTGGCTCCCCATCCCCCGTCGGGTCCCAGCACCGATCCCCCCCCCGTTATCCCGTTTCCCCCCCCCCCCGTTCGGTCCCGATCTGTTTCCGCCGCTTCCCCTCGTCCCGTTCCCCGCCGTGGCGGAGGCGGAGCCGCGGCCCTGCCCTTCGCCCCGACCCGCCCTCCCCGTTCCCCCCGCAGGCGACGGCCGGCGGCGCTGCTGTGCGCTGCGCTCTGCCTCGGGGCCGCCCTCGCCGTGGACCGCAGCAACTTCAAGACGTGCGAGCAAAGCGGGTTCTGCCGGTGGGTACCGGGGGGGGAGCCCGTCGGGGAGGCAGCGGCCGGGCCGGGGCCGCGCTCAGCCTCTTTCCAACCCCGCTTCCCCCGGCAGGCGCCAGCGCGGCCTCAGCCCCGGGCAGTCTCCGTACCGAGCCCTGCTGGAGTCGCTGCAGCTCGGTCCCGACGCCGCCAGGATGCAGCTCATCAATGAGGCCACCAAGGTCCGCCCGGGGCCGGGGAGGGGGCTGCGGTGGCCGGGGGGCCGTCCTGCTGATACCGTGACCCCTGGTCCAGGTCCCGTTGCTGCTGGAGCTGTGGGGGCTGCAGGGCAACATGACCCGGATCCGCATCAAGGAGCTGAACCCGCTGCGGCCGCGGTTCGAGGTGCCCGATGTGCTGGTGGCGGAGCCGCCGGTGGAGCGGTGAGCAGCGAGGGGGGAACACACAGGGATGGGGGGGGGCCGGGGTGCAAGAAGCCGCCTTCAACACCCCCGTTGCTGGCAGGCTGGCGGTGACGGGGCGGGACGAGGGGAGCTTGGAGCTGTCGCTGGGCCCGGCGGGACACCGGCTGCTGGTGACGGAGAAGCCGTTCCGCATGGACCTGCTGCGGGACCGGGAGCTGCTCTGCAGCGTCAATGCCCGCGGGCTCCTCTTCTTCGAGCACCTCCGGCAGCGCCGGGACTCGTGAGTGTGGCTGAGGCGGGGGGGGGGAAGCTGCTCTGCACCGGGCAGGGGGGGGGGCACCGGTTCCATCCCCACATTCCCTCCCCCCCACATTGGGGCACCCAGAAAACACCACCCCCCTCTCTCGCTGGGGTGCCCCCGTTCCCTGTTGGACCCCTCCCAGTGAAGGTAAACCCCAGGGAAGGTGGGGAGTGGGGAGCAGCAGCGCTCTGAGGGTCCCCCCAAAGGGGAGGGCAGGCCGTGGGGAAGGGAGGGGGGAAGCCGGGCCGGGCTGTGTCCATCTGTCCGTCCGGCGCCTCCTTGCACTGACTGTTGGCTGTTTCTGTTTCTGGCTGCGCTTCCCCCCCTGCCCGCGCCCCAGTTTCTCGGATAAGCTTAGTAGCTCGGTCGGTAGCTTGTGGGATAAGATCAAGACCCTTTTCCATAGGTAAATCTGTGGCTTCTGCTGCTGTCTCTGCCCCCCTCCACTCCCCTGCCCTCCCCATGGGCCCCCAGCGGGACCCCCTACCCCAGGCTGCAATGGGAGGGAGGAGGAGCTAGGAGCTGCTGGGGCCATCCCTGTCCCCTTAGAAGTGAGGAGCTGCTCCCCCTGACTGAGCTTGGGGGGTGGTTGTTGGGGTGTTCCCCCCATCTCGGGTCCCCAGGCGAGTGCCTTTGCGGGTGTCCTGTGTCTGTCCCTCACTGCAGACCTGCTGTGTGTCTCATTCGTTCCTGCTGTAACTGGGGTGCTCCAACACCCCATAACTGCTCCTTCTCCCCCCACACCAGGGACACCCCCAGTGAGCCCACAGCAGAGGAGGGGGCAGCTGCTGAGGGACAGGAGGAAGCTGCTGGTGGGACGGAGGAGGCTGGTGATCAGAGCGAGAAGGTATCACAGGGATGGGGGGTTTTGGGGACCAGCAGGGAGCTGGGCCCTCCCTTTTCTTTTGAGAGACCCCATCTCCTTACCCATCCCTTACCCACAGCCCACAGAGGCCACGGCTGAGGCTGCGGAGGAGCCTGGCGCCTGGGAGGAGACATTCAAGACGCACACAGACACCAAGCCCAACGGTGAGCCCCATCCTGTGGCTGATGGGAGGTGTCAGTGTGGGGAGGGGGCTCCCAGTTTCACACCCCCCCACCCACTTTTCCCCCTCCCACCTCAGGACCCACCTCGGTGGGGCTGGATTTCTCCCTGCCCGGCTTCGAGCACGTCTACGGCATCCCTGAGCACGCCGAGAGCCTGCGGCTGCGCACCACCGAGTGAGCACCGGGAGGGCACGGGGAGGGGTGATGGTGGCACCAAGCCGGGGTGGGGGGACACTGACCCGCTGGCCTCCTGCAGGGGGGGGGACCCGTATCGCCTCTACAACCTGGACGTCTTCCAGTACGAGCTCTACAACCCCATGGCCCTGTACGGCTCCGTCCCGCTGCTCCTGGCACACAGCGCCCGCCGCACCCTCGGCATCTTCTGGCTCAACGCTGCCGAGACTTGGGTTGACATCAGCTCCAACACGGCCGGGAAGGTGTGGGGCAGGGGCTGGGGGGGAGCGGGGGGGGTGTGTGTGTGTGTGTGCAATTGGGGTTCTGACACCCCCTTTCCGCTGCCGGCAGACGCTCTTTGGGAAGCTGCTGGATTACATGCAGGGCGGAGGGGAGACGCCGCAGACCGACGTGCGCTGGATGTCGGAGAGCGGCGTCATCGACGTCTTCCTGCTGCTGGGCCCCACGCCTGCCGCCGTCATGGGGCAATACGCTGCCCTCACCGGTACACCGCGGGCAATGGGTGCACCCTGCAGCACGCAGGGACCCCGTTCCGAGCTTCTCTGTGCCCCCCCACAACAGGCACCCAGGCACTGCCCCCCCTCTTCGCTTTGGGGTACCACCAGAGCCGCTGGAACTACAACGACGAGGAAGACGTGGCCGCGGTGGAGAGGGGCTTTGAGGAACACGCGGTCCCATGCGACGTGCTCTGGCTGGACATCGAGCACGCCGATGGCAAACGCTACTTCACGTGGGACCCCAGCAAGTTCCCCCGGCCCCGCGCCATGCTGGAGCGACTGGCTGCGAAGAAACGCAAGGTGGGAGGCCCCAGCAAGGGACTTAGGGGGCTGGGGGGAACCCCACCCCCCTCAGGGGGGCTGACGTGGGGTCATTGTCCCCCCAGATGGTCAGCATCGTGGACCCCCACATCAAGGTGGACAGCGGGTACCGTGTCCACACTGAGCTGCGCTCCCGCGGTTTCTATGTCAAGACAAAGGATGGGAGCGACTACGAGGGCTGGTGCTGGCCGGGTGAGTGGGGCTGGGGGGGGCCCTGGGGGGGTTTTGGGGGGGGGGGGGTGTCACGCTGACCCCTGTGTTGTCCCCAGGCTCTGCTGCGTACCCCGACTTCACCAACCCCGAGATGCGTGCATGGTGGGCGTCCATGTTCGCATACGACCAGTATGAGGTGAGGAGCTGCTGCCAGTGGGTTCATGCCTCCCCCCCACCAGTGTCACCCCCCCCAGTGGTTGTGTGGCCCCCCCAAGTCATTGTCATCTCCCTCCCCCAAGTCACTGTCATCCCTATATTGCCCTTTAGCTCTCACAGCATCATCTTCCTGTATTGCTCGTGTCCTCCCGCAAGCTACTGTGTCCCCCTCTTCTCTGTTTACCCCCCCCCCGTGCTCCCCTCCTCACCATGGAGCCCCCCCCCCAGGGCTCAACCGAGATCCTCTTCACATGGAACGACATGAACGAGCCCTCGGTGTTCAGCGGCCCCGAGGTGACCATGCACAAGGACGCGGTGCACCACGGCGGCTGGGAGCACCGCGACGTCCACAACCTCTATGGCCTCTATGTGGTGGGTAAACCCCCCCCCCCCGAACGCCATTTTACCCCCCACCTTCACAGGGAGGGGGAGTCCCTTATGGCCTCTTCCTCTCCTCTCCCCACAGCAAATGGCAACGGCCGAGGGGCAGATCCAGCGCTCGGGGGGGCAGCACCGGCCCTTCGTGTTGAGCCGCGCTTTCTTCGCCGGCTCCCAGCGCTATGGTGAGGTTTGGGGTTTCCCCCCCCCCCAACGTGTCTTTGTGCCCCCCCTATCTTCTCCCTCACCCCCCCCCCCCTTCTCTCCCAGGCGCTGTGTGGACGGGCGACAACGCAGCCGAGTGGGAGCACCTCAAGATTTCCATCCCCATGTGCCTGAGCTTCGGGCTGGCCGGGTTGGCTTTCTGTGGGGGTGAGCGGGGCAAGGCTTTGGGGGGAAGTAGGTGATGGAGGGGAGGAGAGGGGGTGCTCCATGTGCTGGGGGGGTCACCCTGAAGCCTTTCTTCCCCCCCCCCATCTCCCCTAGCGGACGTGGGGGGCTTCTTTAAGAACCCCGATGCGGAGCTCCTGGTGCGCTGGTACCAGGCGGGCGCCTTCCAGCCCTTCTTCCGCGCCCACGCGCACCTGGACACGGCGCGGCGCGAGCCCTGGCTCTTCGGGGAGGACAACGCGGCGCTGATCCGCGGGGCCGTGCGGCTCCGCTACGCTCTCCTGCCCTTCTGGTACACGGCCTTTTACCACAGCCACCGCCACGGCCTGCCCGTCATGAGGTGAGGGGAGAGGAGGGCAGAGCCCCGGGATCACAGCGTGGGCTTGGGTGGTGCTGGAAGTGAGCTGAAAGCTCCTCCAGATCCAGCCACGGGCAGGGAGCCCTTCCACTGGAGCAGCTTGATCCAAGCCCCTGTGTCCTTGGACACTGCCAGGGATGGGGCAGCCACAGCTTCTCTGGGCACCCTGTGCCAGCGCCTCAGCACCCTCTCAGGGAAGAGCTTCCTTAAATCCAGTCTAAACCTCCCCTGTCCCAGTCTGGTCCCATCGCTCCAGTCCCTGATGCAGGTCCATCCTTCGGACCCTGGAAGCTGCTCTGAGCTCTCCTCGCAGCTTCTCTCCTCCAGCCCCAATGTCCTCAGCCTGGCTCCTATGGGAGCTGCTCCAGCCCCTCGTGGCCTCCTCTGGACTTGCTCCAACAGCTCCATGTCCTTCTTATACTGAGGACTCCAGAACTGCACACAGTAGGGTCTCAAGAGAGCAGAGCAAAAGGGGGGAGAATCCCTTCCCTGAGCTCTGGGGGTGCAGCCCAGCCCACGGGGGTGTTCTGTGCTCAAGCTCACACTGAACCCATCTCATGGGGAGCTTCTCATCCACCACCAGCCCCAAATCCTCCTCCTCAGGCTGCTCTGAATCACTTCTCCCCACAACCTGCGCCTGGGATTGCCCCGGCACAGCCACATTCCCCCTTCTTGTCCCTAGGCCGCTGTGGATGGAGTACCCTGAGGACACCACCACCTTCGCCATTGATGATCAGTACCTGCTCGGTGAGAGGGGCTTTCCTCCCATATTGGGGTGTCCCTCCACGTGTCGGGGTCCCCCCACCCTGATGTTGACCCAGCACCCCCCTTCCTTCCCCAGACAGGGCGCTGCTGGTGCACCCCGTCACGGAGCAGGGTGCCCGTGGAGTGCAGGTCTACCTGCCCGGCAAGGGAGAGGTGAGGTTATGGTGGGGGAGCTGCAGGCTTTTGGGGAGGGAGGAGGGGGGAGAGGGGATTCAAGCTTTGAAGGGGGTTTTGGGGGTCCAATGCCATCCCCAACCCCTCTCTGGTACGCCCAGGTCTGGTACGACACCGTCTCCTACCAGAAGCACCATGCACCACAGACGCTCTACATGCCGGTGACCATGAGCAGTGTGGGTGATGGGGATGGGTTTGGGGGGGCTGCAAGGGTCTGTGAGGGGGGAGGGGTTGAGTACACCTTCCCCCTCCCCCCCCCCCCAGGTGCCGGTGTTCCAGAGGGGGGGGACGGTGGTGCCACGGCAGGAGCGGGTGCGACGTTCAACCGAGTGCATGCGGGGGGATCCCTTCACCCTCTATGTGGCCTTGAGCCCTCAGGTCAGTGCAGACCCCCCCGGACCCGCCTCCCCCCCCCCAATTGCCCCTGGACCCCCCCCAAAACCCCCCTATTGCCCCCAGGGCACGGCTGAGGGCGATCTCTTCCTGGACGATGGGAAGAGCTTTGAGTACGAGACAAAGGCGCATTTCCTCCACCGACAATTCACCTTCGCTGGCAACACGCTAACAGCCAGGTACCCCCAGCAGCCCCCCGACCCCTCCACATCCCCTCTGCACCCCCCCCCAACCTCCTCTTTCTCCTTCCCTGCAGCTCTGCAGACCCCCGGGGCTCCTTTGACACCCCGGTGTGGCTCGAGCGCGTGGTGATCCTGGGGGCAGGGAAACCTGGCGCCGTCATCCTCCAGCCTGCGAGTGAGTTGGGGATGAAGGGGGGGGGTGTTTGGGGGTCTCCCACCCCCAGGACTCCCCCCTCATCCCCTTCCTGTGTTTCCCCCCCCCCCAAAGACGGCTCAGAGACACGCCTGGACTTCCAGCACGAGGCCGAGCCGCCCGTCCTCACCGTGCGCAAGCCGGGCGTCCGCATGGGCGATGACTGGGCCATCGTCCTGCGATAATGCAGAGGGGGGGGGGCTCCTCCTCACACCCACCCCCCCTCCCGCTCCCTCTGGGGCCCCCCCGCAGCCCCTTTTACCCCCCCCCCCCCCCCAATCCCCACCTGGGGGCAGGGAGCTCCTGTTGCCCCCTTGGCTGCTGTAGTGGGGGGTGTCCCCCCAGTTGGGCTGGGCTGGGGAGGGGGTCATTGTCTCTGCCTCCCCGCCCCCCCCCGGTTTTCCCCCCCAGGTGTGGGGCTGGGGGGGGTGAGGGCTGGGGGGGGATGGGGACCAAGGCTCTGTGTGCCCCCCCCCCCCAGCTCCTCTTGTGCCTCAAACTCTCCCCATCCCCTTCTCCCCTTCTCCCCCTTTCCTTCCCCCCTCTCAACCCCCCCCGTTTTCTCCCCCTGCCCTTAACCCGCAGGGGTCAGGAGGGGGGTGAGGGAACCCCCCCTTTTCTCTATGGGGCACATGAGGGTCGGGGGGGGGGGGAAGCAGATCCGGCACCCCCCCCCCCCCCCAGCGGCTGGGCGGGGCCGGGATGGGGGGAGGGGGCGGCCCTGCGAGGAATTTTGATAAAAGACAAATAAAACCAAGAAAAAAAAAACAACAAATCCGGTGTTCGAAGTTGGGGGGGTGGGGGGGCACAACCCGGAACCCGCAGCAGGGGAAGCGCAGGTTCCGGCCGGACCCCTCTAGGAACGGACCGCGACCGGAAGCGGTGTCCGGAGCGCGGTTGGGAAGGGACCGGAAGTGCCGGCCCGGCCCGGCCCGGTCCGGTCGGGTCCGGTCCGGTCCGGCGGAGGCTTCGCGGCCTGAAGCGGGGCCCGGGCCCGGCCCCGCCTCCTCCGGTGCTGGTAACGGAGCGTGAGAGGAGGGGGGGGGGGCGGGGGGGCGGAGCTACCGGAGGGGTCCTGTCTTGTACCGGGGGATACGGAGGGGCTGGAGGTACCTGACGGGGGCACCGGGAGCGCTGCGGGTGTGGGGCGGGGGTCATGGGGGAAGGGGGGTGCCCGAGAGCTGGGCCCCCCCCCCCGAGCCACCTGAACCCTTCCCCACAGCACCCCCGTTCCCGCCCCCCCCCCCAAACTCCCGGTGCTGCCATGAGGGTGAAGCTGAAGAACGTCTTCATCGTGTACTTCGTGGTGTCGCTGGTGGGGCTGCTCTGTGCCCTGCTGCAGCTCGGTGAGAGGGGGGAAAGGGGGGCGCTGGGGGTCCCTGACACCCCCCCCCCCCAGGGTTTTGATGGGGTCCCTGATCCACACCCCCCCCCTCTCTGTTTGTGCCCCCCCCAGGGCAGCCCTGTGACTGCTCCCAGCAGCTCCAGGCCGAGCGGCGCCGGGGCCGGGACCGGCTGCTGGCAGAGCAACGGAATGGGGGGGGCCGGGGGGAGCCCCAAGCACAGGGAGGGGGCCAGGCCCTGCCCACCATCTACGTGGTGACCCCCACCTATGCCAGGTGAGACACCCCCCCCCCCAAATGCTTTACAGACTGCCCAGACCCATTTGCACTCCCCTTAGACCCCATATAACCTGATCTGCCCCCCTCCCACACCCATTTGCACTCCCTTTGGACCCTATATAACCTGATCTGGCCCCCCCAGACCCCATTTGCATTCCCTTTGGGCCCCATATAACCTGATCTGCCCCCCCCCGACCCATTTGCACTCCCTTTGAGCCCCATATAACCTGATGTGCCCCCCCCCCCCCCAACTCGTTTCCACTCCCTTTGGGCCCCATATAACCTGATTGGCCCCCCCCCAGACCCATTTGCACTCCCCTTAGACCCCATATAACCTGATCTGCCCCCCCCCCCAGACCCATTTGCACTCCCTTTGGACCCCATATTACCTGATCTGCCCCCCCAGACCCATTTGCACTCCCTTTGGGCCCCATATAACCTGATCTGGTGCCCCCAGACCCATTTGCATTCCCTTTGGGCCCCATATAACCTGATCTGCCCCCCCCAGACCCATTTGCACTCCCTTTGGGCCCCATATAACCTGATGTGCCCCCCCCCCCAACTCATTTCCACTCCCTTTGGGCCCCATATAACCTGATTGCCCCCCCCCAGACCCATTTGCACTCCCCTTAGACCCCATATAACCTGATCTGCCCCCCCCCCAGACCCCATTTGCACTCCCCTTAGACCCCATATAACCTGATCTGCCCCCCTCCCGACCAATTTGCACTCCCCTTAGACCTCATATAACCTGATCTGCCCCCCCCCCGACCCATTTGCACTCCCCTTAGACCCCCTATAACCTGATCTGCCCCCTCCCCGACCAATTTGCACTCCCCTTAAACCCCATATAACCTGATCTGCCTCCCCCCCCCAGACCCATTTGCACTCCCCTTAGACCCCATATAACCTGATCTGCCCCCCCCCCCCGACCAATTTGCACCCCCTCTTAGGTTCCATACAACCTGCCCTGCCCCCTCCAGACCCATTCACCCCCATTCACCCAGCCTGCCCTCCCAGACCCATTTGTACCCCCCATAGGCCCCATGGAAGTTGTTCTGACCCCCCCCCATTCCCATTTGTCCCCCCTCCAAACCTAACCTGCGCCCCCATTCCCTCCTCCCTGCACCCCTGCAGACCCATTTGCACTCCCCAGCCTGGCCTCTTTCCTCCTCCCCACACTTCCTTAGTGTCATGCAGCCCCCTCCCCCCTCCCAATTCCCCTCTGACCCCCCCAATTTTCCCTTCTGACCCCCCCAGGCCGGTGCAGAAGGCAGAGCTGGTGCGGCTGTCGCAGACGCTGCTGCACGTGCGGCGCTGCACTGGGTGGTGGTGGAGGACGCCGCGGCCCCCACGGCGTTGGTGGCGCGGCTCTTGGCCAGCAGCGGGGTCCCCTTCACCCACCTGCACGTGGAAACCCCCCCGAGAGCCGCCGCCGCCCCGGGGACCCCCCTGGCTCCACCCGCGCGGGGCGGAGCAGCGGAACCGGGCCCTGCGCTGGCTCCGGGACACGAGGGCGCCCGGCGACGGCGGCGTCGTTTACTTTGCGGACGACGACAACACCTACAGCCTGCGCCTGTTCGAGGAGGTGAGTCCCCCCTGGACCCCTTAAATACCCCCATCACCCTGCAACCGCCCCTGGACTCCTTAAATACCCCCCCATCACCCTGCAACCCCCCCGGACTCCTTAAATACCCCCCCATCACCCTGCAACCCCCCCGGACTCCTTAAATACCCCCCATCACCCTGCAACCCCCCCTGGACCCCTTAAATACCCCCCATCACCCTGCAACCGCCCCTGGACTCCTTAAATACCCCCCCATCACCCTGCAACCGCCCCTGGACCCCTTAAATACCCCCCATCACCCTGCAACCCCCCCTGGACTCCTTAAATACCCCCCCCATCACCCTGCAACCGCCCCTGGACTCCTTAAATACCCCCCATCACCCTGCAACCGCCCCTGGACTCCTTAAATACCCCCCCCCCATCACCCTGCAACCCCCCCTGGACCCCTTAAATACCCCCCATCACCCTGCAACCGCCCCTGGACTCCTTAAATACCCCCCCCATCACCCTGCAACCCCCCCTGGACTCCTTAAATACCCCCCCCATCACCCTGCAACCACCCCTGGACCCCTTAAACCCCCCCCCCATCACCCTTCAACCCCCCCAGACTCCTTAAATACCCCCCATTCACCCTGCAACCCCCCCCGGACTCCTTAAATACACCCCCCATCACCCTGTAACCCACCCCTGGACCCCTTAAATCCCCCTCAGCACCCCCTAAACCTCACAGAACCCTTAAATATCTCCCCCAGACCCCAAAATCTCCCCTTGGACTCCTTACATCCCCCCCCATCACCCTGCATCCCACCCCTGGACCCCTTAAATCCCCCTCAGCACCCCTTAAACCTCACAGAACCCTTAAATACCTCCTCAAAATCCCCCCTTTGACTCCTTACATCCCCCCCATCACCCTGCATCCCACCCCTGGACCCCTTAAATCCCCCTCAGAACCCTTAAATACCTCCTCCAAACCCCCGAAATCCCCCCCTGGACCCCTTAAATAACAACCCATCACCCAACAATCCCCCCTGAACTCCTTAAATACCCCCCCCATCACCCTGTAACCCACCCCTGGACCCTTTCTGTTCCCCTCAGCACCCCCTAAACCTCACAGAACCTTAAATACCTTCCCCAAACCCCCAAAATCCCCCCCTGGACCCCTTAAATACCCCCCCCATCACCCTGTAACCCACCCCTGGACCCCTTAAATCCCCCTCAGAACCCTTAAATACCTCCCCCAAACCCCCAAAATCCCCCCCTGGACCCCTTAAATAACAACCCATCACCCAACAATCCCCCCTGAACTCCTTAAATACCCCCCCCATCACCCTGTAACCCACCCCTGGACCCTTTCTGTTCCCCTCAGCACCCCCTAAACCTCACAGAACCTTAAATACCTTCCCCAAACCCCCAAATCCCCCCCTGGACCCCTTAAATACCCCCCCATCACCCTGTAACCCACCCCTGGACCCCTTAATCCCCCCCCCAGAACCCCCCAAATCCCCCCCAACCGCCCCCCCCTTCTCACTGCTCTCTCTCCCCCCCCCTCCATCCCCAGATGCGCAGCACCCGGGGGGTTTCGGTGTGGCCCGTGGGGCTGGTGGGGGGGCTGCGTTTGGAGCGGCCGCTGGTGGCGGGGGGCCGGGTCGTGGGGTTCCACACGGGCTGGAAGCCGGAGCGCCCCCTTCCCGTTGGACATGGCCGGTTTCGCCGTGGCGCTGCCGCTGCTGCTGGCGCGGCCCGAGGCCCGTTTCGACCCCCGCGCCGAGCGGGGCTACCTCGAGAGCAGCCTCCTGGGGGCGCTCGTGTCCCCCGCGCAGCTCGAGCCCAAGGCCGGCAACTGCACCCAGGTGGGACCCGCGGGGGGGGGGGGGGCTCAGAGGGGTACAGTGGGGTAATGGGGGCACAGTAGGGGCACAGTGGGGGGCCTGAGGGCTCATAGGGGCACAGTGGGGTGATGGGGGATCTGGGGTTTCACAGGGGCACAGTGGGGTGCTGGGGGCTCATAGGGGCACAGTGGGGTAATGGG